TTTCAGGGGCCAGTAGCCTTGCTGGACAAGCATCATAACTGCCGCCATAGGAATATTCTCTTTACATGAATAATAATGTCCTTTCCCGTCCTCATTCTTATAAAGAGAGATTACTGTAATAGACAGCTTATGATGTGATCATTTTCTGAGGATCAATTGATGACGAAAAAGTATACAGTATGCACTTCAGCAAAGCTGCGACGGCTGGAAAATATGGCGACGAGTACTCCGTACTCAAAAGGATTGAAGTTCTACGTTTTTAGTTGTGTTTTACAGGCTTTTGTGCTTTGCTTGTGCTTTGTTCCCAAATATATGTATATCAACCTCCTTTATATAGTGCCATCCCCCCAATAGTGCCATAGCTAGAGGTCTGTCACGCTATAGCACTATATTGTAGGAGGCACTGTAGAGAACAAAGGTTCGACAATCAATTGCAACGGGGGTTTTAAAAATAAAACCATGTAAAAGTGATTTGCGAGATCCTCCCCTTGAGTATTGCAATACGCCAATAGTGCAGTATTCTACCGCGTGGCACGGTACTGCACTATTGAGCGGTATGGACTGTATATTATACGCACGAGAGAGATCGAGAGAGATTCCTTTTACGGAACATTCAATCATACGATACCACTGAAGATAGCATCTCATGATTCGTTGCATCTGCATAAAATTTACAGAACCCAACAGCTGGTCAGTGTAAAGGGGGGGTGCTGGTGTTGTCGGACAGCGACAAAAAATCGGACATGCAAAATATTTTGAAAAACATCTCTGACACAGGCCAATGTGCACCGCCGCGCGCAACGGCGTCAGACAGTGCGCCGTATATCAAAACGACGTGGTTGAAATTAAACAAAAAATATCTCAATCGATTGCTCACAGCTTTCTACGTACAATTGCTACGTATAAGAGTGTAACAACCCAAAAATACAAACCAGGCGGACTTTTCTATTTGTTTCTAATTTGCTTGGATGTCCGATCTTAGTGCTCGGTTAGGGTGCAAAACTCTTCGTTAGGAACGGCCCAATGGGCCGTTCCTAACGAAGAGTTTTGCATTAGGCCGATGGGCAATCTCACTCCTCTTCTGTGTCCGTGCTTGTTTTCGCCAAGTCCCAGTGCACGACAGGCTGAGAGTGTCCCCGTCGCAAAACATAAAAAATGGTGATTGCTTGACAATAATTACAAGTACTTTTTCCTTTTAATATTGAGGTTTTTGTCCGACGTCTCCAGCACCCCCCCTTTAGTGAGGCACACTGATGCTCCGTACCCAGTCATTCTCGACGTGATTCAGATGTGTCAAAAACGCTGCACCTTCCCAGAAAAGGAATTGGAAAGAGCTTCGAAAGTTGGAGCACCGACACGTGCAGCCTTTGCATTTGGACAGTTTGCTTCCTCGTTAATAACCTTTCAACCCTGACCTCAACATCGTCTGTTCGGCCGTGTCGACTAGACACAATCTGCCCCTTCCCTAGGTGCGAAAGCTTAATCTATTCATCTAAATAAGTTCTTGGCTAGAAGAAATAAATATTTTTACTTCATTCAAGTATACTTCGTCGCAGGTAACGAGAAGCGAAGCCCGGTCTAGCAAGACAGATCCCTGTTCCTCTGAAAGCGTCGGAGGAGGCGGAGACACTTCTTTCGGCTGCGCGGCTTTACGGCGCACCTCGGTGTGGCAAAGTGCTCCGCGCAAGTCTTGCCTGTGCGTTGATTAGCAATATCCCAACCACAATAATCATTTTCCAAAACGTTGAAACGTACCCTTGCATCGGCCAACTGCCGCATCCATTCTTGTTTACTCACCCTTCTTTCACGGAAGAATGAAACTGACGTAGCTCGTCCAGTCCCCGGTATAAGTCCCTGTGCAGTGCGCACCCGCGTGCCGTCAGCACCGATAGTTGTCAGCTGATTCTGGAAGAGACCTCCACCAGCTGCTTCAGGAAGGCGGACTTGATATAACACAGTATCGCTTTGCCCTAACGTCACAGTCGTCTCTGTATCAAACGAGTTTGGGGGCTCGCCAAATGGACCGGCAAGGTTTCCGTCGCAGTCGACAGCATTTTGATCGGCCTCAAACACTTTTTCGTTGCCGTTGACGCCACAGATGCCTTCCCCAACGATATTTTCAGGCCCTAAACATTCGCTCTTAGCGAGGGGAGGGTAGACGAATACGTTCCGTTGCTGCAGGCACGGGCCCTTCAACTCGATGTGAATGAACCCGCGATATTGGCCGTAGGTGTATGGCCACCCTGTGGACGTGAAAGGACTTCCATCAGCCCCGAGAAATGTGTAATTGCCCACCCACCATCCAGCTTCTCGCTTCCATACTTCCAGCGTGGAGAGCTTTAAACATGAAGCATCACACTTAAGAGTAGACAATGCCACCCTGAAGAAAAGGGCAATAAAAAGAAGGTGCAGGATCATCTGACTCAGTGGTTTTCTCTGCAACTGGGTGGGAGGACGGATGCAAAGCAAGAGAGATCAACGCAACCATTTGTGGTGCGCCCTTTTGAATCGCATCTCCCTGAAAGGGTCAGTCAAGAAGTGTGCCTTCGGGAACGGCCCTTAGGCCCTGAGGGCCGTTCCTAACGAAGAGTTCGGTGTGCTACAGTGTAGCACGCAAGCACCCTGAAACTTGGCATGAATGTATTGGTTGAAAAAATTATTGGAAATGCTTTTACTCCCGTTCAACCAATCCATTCATGCCAAATGTCAGGGTGCTTGCGTGCTAGCACACCGAAGGGATCTATCTATGTACATGACATTACAGTATTTAGAACCTCATTGATGCCAACGGAGGTGATTGGTGTTGAGTTGTTTTTTTTGTGTTGTAGAAAATGAATCATCAGATCAATTCCAGGAACAAAAGCGTGACATGTTCCTGGCGCGAAGAATGTTGCAGGCATGCTGTCGCACAGACGGAAACACTGGTCGCAAGGAATCCGGAAACTGTGTAGGATGTTCGACAGCGGTATTTCTCTACCTGCAGAACTCTAGATTACCTACAGTAATGTACAGTCGATGCAAAACCGCGGCATGCGTTTCCCATTACCAGAAACTGTTCAGTCGGTTACACAAGGACCGTACTGAGTTTTACATTGTGCAGTTCATGATTGCTTGTCTGCAAATATGGCGTGCAACCCAGAACCCAGAACAATCCGAATAAGGACAGAGACTTGTCCAGTACAGTAGCATTAGCCTCGAGAGTTGGGCTGTGGTAAAAAAATTTCCAATCCAATATCTACAAGCAGGCATCTGCTGATGGTAGAGGGACCCCCTACTGTACATCTATCTAAAAAAAAGAGCTTGACGCTTCGGTAAAGAAACGTGTTTCTCACCAGGGCTGTGATCGCTTGCGGTACCTTGTTTATTCAGTGCTTTCAGTACATCTTATACTGCATATGAAGGCCAAGCATCTGCACGATGAGGTAGAGTCGTGAACAAGAGTGGTCCGGCTTGGAAATCTCGCAATCTCAAGGTGTAATGTTGGCTGGCACTGCGTCATGACTCTGCTGCATCTTGTTTACTACGTCGATAAGTGAACGGAGGCAACGTGTGAGGAAGGCAAAGCGGGGGGGGGGGGGGGGGGTTCGACGTGAAGAGGGGTCTTCCGTACATATTTTAATTAAATAAGAATGTTTAGAAGTACAGTACAGAACAGAAAGAAAATACTGTGGTACAGTGTGACGTATTGCACTCGTACTCGAACCATTCACGTGTAAACGTGTATCATGCCTTGACCTCACCAGCGTGAGATCGCGGTGACGTACGGTGCTGAGGTCCATCTGCTCGCCTTCAGACAACGTCTGTTTACCATAGATCTGAATGCCGTAGTCGGATGGACAATTGCATATTCACAGTGAACGGCTCGGCGAGCTCCAGAGAGCACATTGCACTTCGTGAATAAGCTCCACACCCCCAGTCGTCACGAGAATCTTCACGATGGACGAAGTGCAAACCGTCCAATTCTATGCTCCCTTCGATGTCCGCGTCATATCGAGTCCGTTCCCCTCTCCTCCCGGCGCGAACCAAGCGCTCATCAAGAACAAGCTGAGCGCCATATCCGCCGGGACGGAGCTCCTCGTGTACCGCGGTGACATGCCCGCCGACATGCCGACTGATGCCGTAATCTCAACGCAAGCCACGGCCTTTAGCTACCCCTCCACCTACGGCTACGCCGCGGTCGGCACAGTCTCCTCCGTCGGCGCGGAAGCCTCTGGCCTCGCCGTCGGCGACCATGTATTCGCCTTCCGCGAGCACACCTCCGCCTTCACCGCCGCGATCCCCGACCTGCTGCGCGTGCCGGCGGACATCGCGGCGGCCGACGCGGTGTTCTTTCCGAACATGGAGACGGCTGTATCGCTCGCGATGGACGCCGCGCTTCTCCCTGGCGAGACGGCGTGCGTGGTGGGGCAGGGAGTCGTGGGTCTGCTGGTGGTGGCTGCGCTGCGCAAGCTGCACCCGTACAGCACGGTGATCGCGGTGGACATCGCGGAGCCGCGGCGGCGGCTGTCGCGCGAAAGCGCCGGCGCGCACGCGGCGCTGGACCCGGGCGCGGCGGGCTTCGGCGCCGACTTTGTGTGCGCGGCCGGGCATGCGCGCGGCGCGGACGTGAGCGTCGACGTGTCCGGCGCGGGCGGGGGACTCGACGTCGCCATCAGGGCCACGCGCGACCACGGGCGCGTCGTGCTCGGGTCGTGGTACGGCGCGAAGGAGGTCGCGCTGGCGAGCTTGGGCGGCCGGTTCCATCGGTCGCACATTCAGGTGGTGGCGTCGCAGGTCAGCCACATCCCCCCTGCCATCGCGGCGCGCTGGTCAAAGCAGCGGCGCTTCGAGCTCGCGTGGAAGCTGGTGCGGGACGTACAACCCTCGCGGCGGTTTCCGGTGACGTACGCTCCCATCGGAAAGGCAGCGGAGATGTACAAGCAAGTGGCAGCGGGAGAGCATGTACAGGTGGTGTTCACGTACGGGGAATGACTCCAATAGCGATCAAAGGCGACGCACCTTCAAGATCTCGCGCACGTTGCTGCATCCGTCCCTAATCTCCTTGACAACGTCGACCTCCACGCGCACGCCATCAGCCTCCGCAGCCATCTCCTTGACGCGCTTCGCAAACTCTCTCGTGCCGCCCCCAACGCCAAAATAGTAGGTCTTGCCGGCCACGAAGGCGACGCCGCCGACCGGCAGCACGGCCAAGATGCACTCTGCAAGCTGTTCGATCTGGTCCTTCGCATAGACGGTATCGCTGGACAGGACGACGGGGTACTTCCTCCCGAGCACGGGCGGGAGCCCGGCCCACGCGCCCGCGAAGAGCTTGACGACGTGCTCGCAGCGGGGGACGTTGGCGCGCAGGTTGGGGGCGGTGACGTCGTCGAGGACCTCTGCGTTGTAGTCCTGCACGTGGACGGGGTCGGCGCCGCACTTGGCGGCGACGATGGCCGGGAAGGCGTGGCCGGCGCCCAGCTCGAGCACGGCGCTCCCGCGAAGGCGGGGCTGCTCGGCGCGGTAGAGATGCTCGGCCAGGTCGACGGCGCACTCCCACAGCTTGTACCCGCCCTCGTACGTGGCGGGGAGGATATCCGCGCCCGTCGGGGACAGATGGGGCGGCGGCGTGGCGATGGACTTGCGCAGGAGGAGCGCGGATTCGCACAGCGGGACGGCGTCGTGCGGCGCGGAGGGGAGGAAGGGGCTGGCGGCGAGTGGGTGGGGGCGCGGGGGCGCGTCGAAGGTGGCGGGGGGTGCAGTGGAAGAGGTGCGGGGGGAGGTTGGCGAGGGTTTTGGGTCGTTGAAGCTGAACTTAAACATCGGGAGGAGGGAGGAGAGAGAGATGCGAGACTGCAGGAAGGGGAAGGTCGGAAGATGAATATGAAGAGAAAGGGGGAACGGGCGCGGATGGATTTCGGGGGCAGCAGGGACTGGGCGAGGTGGTTGTGATCGGTCTGGCGCGTTCTCAGTGCCAAGTGTGTTTGAAAGCACGTGTCCACGTGCGGCTGTAATGGGCAACGAGTTACAGCGAATGTCAGGGAATGGAGCGAGAGTGAAGTAATTTTAGTATCTGTCACGGACCCCGGTCGATCTGTGCCGCAGTCATCCGTCGATGGGCAGTCAAGCGGTGAGCAAATCGCCTGACGTGTCGAGTCGCGGCAGAGCACCATCTTCCCATGACGGCACTCACCTTAATAACCCTGCTATCTCCCAAGACACTCTACCGCAACAAGCATTCCTGTTTCATCCTCATTTTCGGGCTCCTGTAAAATAGTCTGGGCTATACTAAATCCTGTTCACGGGTGTAGATTGGAAACGGGCACGACCCACCAACCAGGCACAATGTTCTCTCTATGGCGCGGGTGGGGGCCGGGCGGGATTGGAGGCGCGAGCTGGGGGTGAGGCAGGGGGGTTGGAGTAGTTGCTGGAGTCTGGAAGGCGAGCTACATTTGGCGAGACAGAACGGCGCTTATCTTGATAACCAATCTTCCCGCGCCCGATACTACAAGTCGCATGAGGATTGGAAACGGGCGCGACCTGCGCACCTACCCAAAACGCATCCCTCTGCCCTGCGCCAAACGCTCCCCCTCCGCCCGCCCCCGTCCGCTCACTTGAACAGGCCGTGCGCCTCAATGTAGTTCACTACCGGCGTTGGCGTCATATACATAATACTCTCGCCCCTCTGCACGCACCCTCTGCGAAGAAACTGGTCAGCACGGGTACACAGGCCTTCCACGGCGCGAAAAACGGGCGAGCACAACCTACCTAACCGCGCTCGAGCTCAAGTCCCAAACGACGCCGGTCATCTCCTCGCACACCCCGCCCAAAGCTCTGAGCCTTTCCCCCACGGCGTCCCCCTCTCCCCTGGCGACCCACAGCAGGCCGGCCTCCGCGAGCAGGGCGGCCAAGCTCTGCTCGGTCCAGGCCGGGCCCTCCATGCCTCTGACCAAGTCTGCGCCGCACACGACGCGGACATCGACTTTGCCGCGCACGGCGCGGCTGATCCTGCGGACGAGCTCCCACGTGCACACGAAGCGCCCC